ACTCCAGGTTGTCATATTCTGGGAGTTGAGCTACATTTGATATGCCGATAATCACTACTGGCTTTGTTATGTGGTCTTTTTGGTAGCCTTATATTCCTTGATGGGAAAGTAGTCCTATTTTATGTCCGTTTAACCGATCATGTATAGACCTACAAGGATAGCCATAGACTCCATCTTGACAGCCAATGCGTACACACACGCCTCAGTGGTCATCAACTTATTTTACTATTTCATCATTATTCTGTTGCATAGGCTAATAAGTTTTGCTTAATTCCTTCACGTTCTGGTCAATGTCTCTTATGAAATTTGGTTCTCTGTATACACAGACAATTGACAGGCGACCGTATGCATTTCGCACCAAACATTCTGGCTAGAACGCAAATCCATACCAGCAGAGTTCGAGGAAATTACCTGTACTCAGGGCATCTGTCGAAGTCGCGTTCGGGGCGATTTCTAAATAGAAGCGAACAGGCGAGTCCCAGGTAGCAGTTCAGAAGATGAAGATGCGATCACTGGGACAAGACGTTTATTTGCCTGACGTTTCGGATTCTCACTCGAATCCATCATCAGAGACATTCGCAGATAGAGGTGAATGTGGCACCAGGAGTGCAGTATTTATAGCACGTGGCTGCCGTAGGACCGTATGCGCGCTGCAATTAACAGTTCTCACAATCGCCGCTGGGGTCGTAATTGATGCGGCGGTGGCTTGGCGGTCCGAGTCCGAGTTGTTAATTGCCGCGATTTCGTCATCCGTGCTCGATGCTGGTGTGACGATTGCTCGACAAACTGGCTCACTGTCACCGTGATAATTGCTCACCCGCGCCCTCCCCACGTGACTGATTCTCCTGCCCAGGGAAAATCGCAATACGCAATAGGGCACCGGGAGGTCATTGTGTTTGTTAATGGATTGCGGGCCTGAGAACCATGACTCGAGCAGCTCGCGGCTCACGCGGTTGTCACCTCTTGCGAGGATTTCGAACACCTATTCGAACACCACAGTCAGCTCGTCAACACAATTCTTGGAGAAACTTAAAGGAGTAAGTCTCCTGCCAAACGATATCATGGTTTCCTTTGATGTCACGTCCCTTTTTACTTCTATCCCGCAGGACCTGGCAGTCGAGACAA